ACAAGGTGGAACCGAGCGTTTTGAGCTTTGGAGATGTAAACAGACTAATAATAAAGATTTACTCAAACATGGGAATGAAACAAAACACAAGTCCAGGTCTGTTTTTGACAAAATAACAACATAATAACACGACTTAAACCTCACAAGAGTCAATTTTGTGTAATATAAGACCTTCAACCACAAACCTCTAAAATGGACAAAGAAATAAAAATAAATACATTTTAAAAATTAATTAATTGTGGATCCATCTTATGTTTTAAAGTAAAGATAAAAAGCTGTGAGGTGTTTAAGATTAAGAAGTTACCGATACAATACACTGAGCTTTCGATTCGATACAATTCGGTGCAATATATTTCAAAACGATTCGATACGGTTCTGGTTTAGTTCTAATTTAGTCCTGGTTCAGTCCTGGTTCAGTCCTGGTTTAGTCCTGGTTTAGTTCCTGGTTTAGTCCTGGTTTAGTCCTGGTTTAGTCCTGGTTTAGTCCTGGTTTAGTCCTGGTTTAGTCCTGGTTTAGTCCTGGTTTAGTCCTGGTTTAGTCCTGGTTTAGTCCTGGTTTTAGACCTGGTTTAGTCCTGGTTTAGTCCTGGTTTAGACCTGGTTTAGACCTGGTTCAGTCCTGGTTTAGTCCTGGTTTTAGTCCTGGTTTAGTCCTGGTTTAGACCTGGTTTAGTCCTGGTTTAGTCCTGTTTAGTCCTGGTTTAGTCCTGGTTTAGACCTGGTTTAGTCCTGGTTTAGACCTGGTTTAGTCCTGGTTTAGTCCTGGTTTTAGTCCTGGTTTAGTCCTGGTTTAGACCTGGTTTAGTCCTGGTTTAGTCCTGGTTTAGTCCTGGTTTAGTCCTGGTTTAGACCTGGTTTAGTCCTGGTTTAGACCTGGTTTAGTCCTGGTTTAGTCCTGGTTTAGTCCTGGTTTAGACCTGGTTTAGTCCTGGTTTAGTCCTGGTTTAGTCCTGGTTTAGTCCTGGTTTAGTCCTGGTTTAGTCCAGTCCTGGTTTAGTCCTGGTTTAGTCCTGGTTTAGACCTGGTTTAGTCCTGGTTTAGTAGTCCTGGTTTAGTCCTGGTTTAGTCCTGGTTTAGTCCTGGTTTAGTCCTGGTTTAGTCCTGGTTTAGTCCTGGTTTAGTCCTGGTTTAGTCCTGGTTTAGTCCTGGTTTAGTCCTGGTTTAGTCCTGGTTTAGTAAGCACAGTATCATGTGTCGTGTGAATAAAACAAAACACAACTCCAGGTCTGTTTTTGACGAGGAAATGATGATGACTTGACTTAAAGCTCACGAGAGTCAATTAAAACAGTAGGAGAAAGTCAAATTAATACTAAAACATGCTTAATTAATCTTAGTTTACGACTCAAACTGTGCCAAAAATAAATAAATAAATAAATCAAATAATAATAAAGCTGCAGTTTTCGGGTGGACAGTCTGCTAACTGCTTGTCACTGTGGAGATGTTATTGCTTTGTCTGGAATGTTTCACAGTGCAGCATTAAACTAATTTAGTGATCATTTATTTCTTCATAACTTGGTCAGGGTGTGTCGGCTGCTTGATTCCATGGAAAAAAGTGTTTAATGCCCTACGGTGGAACATTGCGGTAAAGTAATAACACCTCCATGGAAATATTTGAAGTACAATTAACACCGACACCTAGAGTTGTTTTAATTTACTACCCTCAAATGTGTCAAAATACAAAAATTAAAAGGTGCAGAATTGTTCAAATGCTCGTTTCCATGGGGGGAAAAGAGTTTAATGGCCTACTGTGGAACATTGCGGTAAAGCAATAACATCTCCATGGAGACATTTGTATTATATTTCAATAGTCTGAAGTAAAATTAACACCAACATAAGACAAAACATTTGAATTTACTACTCCAAATGGTGTCAAAATCCAAAGATTAAAAGGTGCAAAGATAGTCAAATTCTTGTTTCCATGAGGGAAAAAAAAAGAGTTTAATGCCCTACTGTGGAACATTTTATAACATCCATGGAGACATTTGAAGTAAAACTAACACTAACACCCAGAGTTGTTTTAATTTACTGCTCACAAATGTATAAAAATACGAAGATTAAAAGGTGCGAAGTTGTGCAAATGTTTGTTTCCATGGGAAAAAAAAGGTTTAATGCCCTACTGTGGAACATTCTGCTAAAGCAATAGCATCTCCATGGAAACTTTTGTATTGTATTTCAACAATCTGAAGTAAAATTAACACTAACATAAGAGTTGTTTTAAATTTCTACTCAAAACTGCGTCAAAATACGAAGATTAAAATGTGCAAAGTTATTCAAATGCTCGTTTCCATGGGGGGGGGGGGGGGGGGGTTAATTCTCTATTGTGGAACATTCCGGTAAAGCAATAACATCTCCATGGAAATATATGAAGCAAAATTAACACCGACACCTAGAGTTACCTAGAAAGCTAGACTACTCAAAACAATGTCAAAATACGAAGATTAAAAGCTGGAAAGTTCTGCAAATGTTTATTTCCATGGGGGAAAAAAGAAAGTTTAATGCCCTACTGTGGAACATTCTGGTAAAACATCTCCACAAAGATGAGAAGAACCACCAAAAGAGTTACACAAAGCACTTAAAAAAAACTGAAAATCAAGAATAAATGGGCAATTCTGTCCTTTAGTTTCGTCGAAAAATACCGAAAATCAGACGCTAATCGATACTAAAACTAGAATCGAACGTTGAAAATCACATTCTGTTGTGTAAAAAAAAAAGCATATTTTTTTAATAATAATTGTAATTTCAGAGTGTGTATGGAGTGTCGAGTCTATGTTCCTCAGTGTAGCCCAGAAAAACCAGAACATTTTAAAGCCTGAACCCACCGTATTCTGTTGGTTACATAAGCGTCCAGTCACACCGGCTCAGCTCTAATGTAATGAGTCACGCTTCCAAAAGGACCACATTACCCACAATCCCCCGCTGCTTCAGCCTGTCGCCTACGATTTCAAACAGGACCCGAGGATTAGCAGGACTCTTACTAGAAGAAGAAGAAGAAGAAGAAAAGGTGTCCTGGCACAAACGTGATTCAGCAAATACACGATGAAAATCAAATCAACATGTGTTTAAAAGTGGGCTGGGTCGGACTCACACGACTTATCTGATTAATAATGATTAATTAAACATGAATTCATGTTTATTATCTGAACTTTATCTTGCCCCAGTCCAGACGTTTTGTATAAGCAGCTCTCGAGGGACAAATCTACACTGTGAAAAGTTTGTTATTTAATTATAAAGGGTTTTGGTCAGATAATCAGGGAGTGCGCGCTTAGCATGCTGAAAGTTGTGAACATTCTCAGAGGGTGTGATGCTAACTGAAGGTACTGTTCAGTCTGAAGGTCTGTGAGTGAAGTGAGGGGTTCGATCTGAATCAAAGTAGCTCTCCAAGGGATTTCTGAATTCTATGTATTGTGCAAAATAAGGAAAATCTGATTAATTACGATTCCGAATTATGATTTTGGTGCACTGATAAATGGACAATGGTTCATGTTTTAAAAGCATCGAACTGTTCCCCGTCTAAGGCTCGCAGTGACTCTTACATTTACTCAGTTTCTTTGTGACTGCTGAATTTGGCAGCTCTCTGGCGTTTTTGTTTGGTAAAAGTAGCTCACTGGAGAAAAACGGTTGGAGACCCCTGATGCCCAGGCACGGCACGGCAGGGACTGTGGTCCTGTTGGAGGAGGTGGGCCAAAGCACGGCACAGAGCTCATGTACACTACACTGCAGGTGCACAAGTTTTTCTGCCTTTTTCCGTCTGCCCTCACTCCTTCGCACTGCTTTTGTGTCCATAAACTCACGGAGGAAGGAGCACATATCATAAGACGGCACATTTCTGTCTCAATATTTGATAGATATTTCTGCCACTAGACTTATTTTCCCCGCTAAAGCGTTTGCTCTGCTGCGCGACAATTAAACAAACAGCACCGTGTGATGACGTCATCGACCGTGGCTCAGTTCGGTTGTGCAGGTGTGAGAGCGAAACAAGGTAAATGGTCACATTTTCCACCTTCAAGGTACTCAAAGCGTTTTACAACAAGGAACCACTCACACATTCACACACACTCTCACACACCAGTGTACACACACACTGGGGCGAGCTGGGTTAAGTGTCTTGCCCAAGGACACAACGATATCATTGACCTGTGGGAGCTGGAATCACACCACCAACCTGTGGGTCAGTGGATCTGACACCTCAACCAATGATGTTTATGTCGAGAGCTGGATTCAAACCGCCAACCTTCAGATAGAACCTACAGCAATCGAGCTTGAGCACGACACTGTTCCTCGTGTGAGTGCATCCTTACACTTTAATCTGTACTTTATTTTAACACCGACATGTCAAACTCAGGCCCGGGGGCAAAATTTGGCCCACGATATAATTATATTTGGCCCGTGAGATCATATCAAACATGTATTAGAGCTGCTCGCTGACTACAGATAAACTACAGAGACATTATTGATTAAAAATGTTATTTTTTTATATTCTGCTTGTTCTGGATTCAATATTTAAGCAAAACTATTATTAAACATTTATTTTAATAAGTAAAAGGTTTAACATTACATATCTCGAAAGAAGAGAAAACATGTAGCTGATGTTGAAATTTTCAGTAAATATTTAATTTGGGCCATGAATTAGTCCCAGTTTTTAATTTTGACCTTTGTGAATTTGAGTTTGACACTAATGATTTAACACAGACTCACCAGAAAGAACTGAAGATCTGACTTGGTTGGAATCCCAACAGGTGAGGTGTGTGATTTGTGCACTTAAACAAAGTGTCTCACACATAAAATCACAGTCAAAAGGATTAGCCAATAGTTTTTCAGTCAGTCAAACTCCTAAAAAGGACCATGAACACTCTGGAAAACTGTGCTGTTTAAATGCTGTTTTCTCGAGTTTTCAGACTTAAAACCTGTTTCACTTGTGTTTGTTGATGTGTCACCATAGTAACTGCTGAACTTTCCACCATAGACCTGCATGTAGAGACGTTGGGGACAGGAGCGGGTACCTGGGGTCGATGCTCTGGCTGATGACGGCGCAGGACTCGCTCTCAGCGTCACTGTCGCTGTGGATCTCCGGAGACGTCGAGCCCGGTTTGATACGAACTGAGACACAGAAGCAGAGGGGGAAATATGAATTATACAATTATACAGGTTTAATAAAAGTCAAAATACTAAATAAACAAGAAAAACAGGCGCACACACTGGTATTTTTGGTAAAGATTGGCCAGAGTTGTTTTCTGGTTTAAGTGTGGCTCTTAGTCGGTGGTTCAAATGAAGTTAATGTCAGTTAAAATCATCAGATTAAATACAAATAATAGAATATTTACATAAAATGATCAGATTAAATTTCGAGTAGTTGACTAGTCAAATGATTATTTTTACACTGAAACTTTTTAAATACATGAACTTGTCTTGTCTCTTTACTTTTATGAAGAGTTTGCCATATTTTACCATAAAATACATATCTATATTTTACAAAACTTTGAGATTTGTCATATCTTGATCAGGACATAGTGTTAAGCTGTACCATTACATTTATATAACTGTGCATTATTTGACACCACATCTTGCCATCTTTATTTCTACTTACTGTATTTTTCGGACTATAAGGTGCACTTAAAATTCTTAATTTTTCCTAAAAAATCGACAGTGCGCCTTCTGTATTAATTCTGGTTGTGTTTACTGACCTCAAACTGATTGTATGTGGTACACGACGCTCAAAAATCTGTCAAAATGTTTTAGTACGACTTTGGTAAACTACGAAGCCGCACCACTTGATGGATTGTCAGAAAATTATGGCTGCTGTAGTCAGGAGCCTCGCAGAGTCATGTCCTTTAGTCCAACAGAAGTGCACAAGGAGGAGGAGTGTTTTTTTCAGCGCTTATAGTTTATGAAAATGAGTCATGTGGTTTTAAGTTTAATTTCTGTAAAACGTTAACAGATGAGCACAAAGCTGCATTAAACACGTTATTACTCATTGTATATTTGAGTCGTCCTCGTAGGAAATAAAAGAACAAACTTAAATGATCCACCCACATTCACTTTCATAATCCACATTCACCAAACCAGAGACAACGCCGGGCGAATTACACAACGATCTGCCGATGGATCGTGAACGCCTGGACTGAAGGATCAGTCTCAAGAGTCGTCTGTTTGTTTTGCTTAATACTTCTTATAATCCGGTGCGATTTATGTTTGAAAATAGACGACAGAATTCAACATAATTGATATTGTGCCTTATAGTCTGAAAAATTGTATGTATTTATTACCATTTTTATATTTTTTACTCTTTATTATTATATTATATTGTGATGCGTGAGCGCCTGTGTCCAAATAATTTCCTTTGTGGATCAATAAAGTTTAAGTCTCAGTCTATTATATTTGAAAACGCTATCCCTACCTCTGCCCTCACCCTTCACCTGTGCCCTCTGCCCTCACCTGAGCCCTCCCTCTGCCCTCACCTGTCCCCTCCCTCTGCCCTCACCTGATCCTTCTGCCCTCACCTGTACCTCCCTCTCTGCCCTCACCTGAGCCCTCCCTCTGTCCTCACCTGTCCCCTCCCTCTGCCCTCACCTGTGCCCTCCCTCTGTCCTCACCTGTGCCCTCCTCTGTCCTCACCTGTGCCCTCCCTCTCTGCCTCTCACCTGCCCTCCCTCACCTGATCCTTCTGCCCTCACCTGAACCCTCCCTCTGCCCTCACCTGTGCCCTCCCTCTGCCCTCACCTGAGCCCTCTGCCCTCACCTGAACCCTCTGCCCTCACCTGTGCCCTCCCTCTGTCCTCACCTGAACCCTCTGCCCACACTTGAACCCTCCCTCTGTCCTCACCTGAACCCTCTGCCCACACTTGAGCTCTCCCTCTGTCCTCACCTGTATCCTCTGTCCTCACCTGTCCCCTCCCTCTGTCCTCACCTGTGCCCTCCCTCTGCCCTCACCTGAACCCTCTGCCCTCACCTGTGCCCTCCCTCTGCCCTCACCTGAGCCCTCCCTCTGTCCTCACCTGAACCCTCTGCCCTCACCTCCCTGAGCCCTCCCTTTGCCCTCACCTGAGCCCTCCCTCTGTCCTCACCTGAACCCTCTGTCCTCACCTGCCCCTCCCTCTGCCTCTGTGCCCTCTGCCTCACCTGAACCCTCTGCCCTCACCTGAGCCCTCTGCCCTCACCTGAGCCCTCCCTCTGTCCTCACCTGAGCCCTCCCTCTGTCCTCACCTGAACCCTCTGCCCACACTTGAGCTCTCCCTCTGTCCTCACCTGAACCCTCTGTCCTCACCTGTGCCCTCCCTCTGTCCTCACCTGTGCCCTCTACCCTCACCTGGACCCTCCCTCTGCCCTCACCTGGCCCTCCCTCTGCCCTCACCTGAGCCCTCCCTCTGCCCTCACCTGTGCCCTCCCTCTGCCCTCACCTGTGCCCTCCCTCTGCCCTCACCTGTGCCGCCCTCTGCCCTCACCTGAGCCCTCCGCTCTCCCGTCGCTGCCGATCAGAGGCACGGTGATGGCCGCGGTCGCCACGCCGTCGGAGGGCATGGCGGTGTAGACCACGGGCAGGGACTGGACCACCACCGGGATGGTCTGCAGCTGCCCCACTTTACTGGGCATGCTCACGGACGGGATGGTGTGGATCACGTGGAGGATCTGCTGCCCGCCCGCCCCCTGTGTGGCCAAGATGGAGCCCGGAGACAGAACCTGGAGAAGAGAAAAGTAAAACAGACAAGAAAAGAAATATTATTACAGCTAGAGTTTGTTTTTCTTGTTTTTCAGTTAAAGGTTCCATATTATGCCATTTCTGATCTGTGTTGTAATGTAGTTTCCTCATCACAAACAGACCTGGAGTTGTGTTTTGTTTCATTCACATGTTTAACGCACAAACCCTGCCCATTTACGTTCTTCTCTCAAAAACTCTGTCATGTGGTAATACAGGAAGTGCTCCACTGTGTTTTTAGGTCCCGTCCACACTAGTTCGTATTTGAGTTGTTTTGGTTGTGGGTGCAGTGTTCGTTCACATTAATCCGATTGAAAACGGCTCCAGAGACGGAACGATCTGGTGCCTCCAGCTCCCACGAATTCATCCGAGTACAGATCTGATCCGGCATTGTGTGGACGCCTGAAAACACTGATACTCTGATGTAGGAGCTCGAGTCGCGTCCTCATTGAACCATGTCACTGTGACCTGATTCTCTGGGTTCGTGACATCGGTCATGTGACGCTGTTGTGGAAAACAGTTTAAACAAACCAGAGACAAAAGGGAAACAGCGGAGCTACAACTACTTTCACAGAACAGACTCACCATCAGCAGAACACCCCTCCGTCACAGAAAGAACACTCATATTCCACTGAGTCGTGTCCTTTAGTCCGACAGAAGCGGAACCACATCAGCGCACAAGGAACGAGCTGTTTTTTGAGCGCTTAGATTATGCAAATGAGCCATGTGGTTTTAAGTTTTGTTTCTGTAAAACGTAAACAAATATGCTCAAACTTGTGTGGACAGGGAACAGACACAGAAACGACGTGTGTGGGTGCAGATCGTTTCAGATACGGTGATTTGTTTCAGTGTAAACATAACCTTAAACTCCACACACCTTCATTAGAATCACTTGGATAATTTTAGTCCTAGAATTGCCAAACTCGATTGAACTAAAGATAAAAATAAATAAATTTTAAAAAAAGAGCTTTTAACTTGAAAACTACCACGTCATGACATCACAAGGTGGAACAGCGCATTTGGAGCTTTGGAGATGTAGTTAGACTAACAATAAAGAGTCACTCAAACACATGTGAACGCTTTTGAGGAGGAAACAATTTTATAAAATGACTTAAAGCTCACAAGAGTCCATTTTGTGTAATATTGAGCATGGATTTGCCCGCTCCAAGTTCACTTAAGTCCATTGCAAGTGTCCAAATGTTTAACTTATTACCAATATTTCACACAATGAGTCATGTAAAAAAAAACATTCCAGGAAAAATTCTAAAATATATGTTCTTTAAAAGCTCCTCTATTACTCAAACTGACTCTTGTGAGTTTTAAGTCGTGTTATAAAGTTGTTCCGTCCTCAAAAACAGACTTGGACTTTTGTTTTGTTTCATTTATGTTTGAGTAACTCTTTATTATTAATCTGTCTACATCTCCAAAGCTCAAAATGCTCCGTTCCACCTTGTGATGTCATGAAGTGGTAGTTAAATCTGCAGTATTTGTGAGTTAAAAATGCGTAAATGAAACAAAACGCAGCTCCAGGTCTCGGTCTCGGTCTGGTCTCAGTCTGGTCTCAGTCTCAGTCTGGTCTCGGTCTGGTCTTGGTCTGATCTCAGTCTGGTCTCGGTCTGGTCTCGGTCTGGTCTCGGCCTCGGTCTCGGCCTCGGTCTCGGTCTGGGTCTCGGCCTCGGTCTCTGTGTCGGTCTGGTCTGGTCTCGATCTCGGTCTGGTCTCGATCTCGGTCTGGTCTCGATCTCGGTCTCGGTCTCGGTCTCTCGGTCTGGTCTCGGCCTCGGTCTCGGGTCTCTCGGTCTCGGTCTCGGTCTGGGTCTCGGTCTCGATCTCGGTCTCTGGTCTCGGTCTGGTCTCGGTCTCGGTCTCGGTCTGATCTCGGTCTGGTCTCGGTCTGGTCTCGGTCTGGTCTCGGTCTCGGCCTCGGTCTCGGTCTGATCTCGGTCTGGTCTCGGTCTGGTCTCGGTCTCGGTCTCTGTGTCGGTCTGGGTCTGGGTCTCGGTCTCGGTCTGATCTCGGTCTGGTCTTGGAGAAGGACTCACCATGGAGCCGATGGACTGCACGTTGGTGGGGACGGGCGTGGCGGTCAGGCCCGGCTGCGTGATGGCGGGCACGGGGTTGAGGGCGGGGGCGGAGGTGGAGGCGGGCAGGGGCGAGCGCGGTTTGTTCAGGGACAGGTCCACGGGCTCCGTCTGGTCCACGGTCTGGACTTCGGCCGCGGGATCCACGGACTCGGATTTGAGGATGAGAGGCTCCAGTTTTATCTGCAGCTCCGTGGGCACCGGGCTGAACGGCGTCTGCGAGGAAGACGAGACACGGAGAAGACGGTTAGACTACACAGAACCCCATTTTTATTTGAGTTTTTATTTATTTTATTGAAATGCCATTTGAGATAGTAGAAGTAGTATTAATATTATTATTAATATGAAATAGGATTAAACCAGTACTACACCAAGACCACATCAGGACTAAACCAGGACTATACAAGGACTGAACCAGGACCAGACCAGGACTAAACCAGGATTAAACCAGGACTAGAACAGGACTAGACCAAAAATAGACCAGAGCTAAACCAAGACCAGACCAGGACTAGAACAGGACTAAACCAAGACCAGACCAGGACTAAACCAGCACTGAACCAAGACTTGGCCAGGACCAGACCAAGACCAGACCAGGACTGAAACGGGACAAAATTGACTCAAATCATGACAAAGCTTTCTTAATTCAAGTCATCTTAACTTGAATTAAGAATTAACTTGCGGTGTGTAGTGCTTTAACAAAATAATGTAGTAAAATATATCAAAAAAATACATCGATAAATATATCGATACAGCAGCCCATGATGTTGATACAGTATCATCACATTAAACAATACGATATTTCGATATTTTTGCACAACCCTAACCAACATCAACATCAGAGGAGACCTGAAAACAGAACAAAAACAAAACATTAAATCTAAAATCTCGATTTGTTTCTATTAGTGATGTAACAATAACCAAAATATCGTGATATTATATTGTCAAGTCTCATTATAATATCGTGGACTGTCACAATATATCGAATTACAAGTTCCTTTCCTTTTTAAATTCATACTTTTATAGTAGAAACAGCTTATAAACACCGGGAACTACATTTCCCATGATTCATTTCAGCGCAGACGACGTGAAGAAATATGTTTTTACTTGAATTCTTCAGATTATACTTGTCAAGGTAATTTCATCTAGAATTATACAAGACTCTTCAAAATATCGACAAAACACACACACAAAAAAAGAACATCTTTGGTTTAGTAAAAAGAAGATTGAGACAAAGTTAAAGCAATAAACATTCAAAACTATTTAAACTCACTAAAACAAACATTTTCAGTGAAAAAAAAAGTGTTAATAAAAGTGTCAGAGGATGAACTTTGTGGGTGTGGGTCTCGGTCTCGGTCTCGGTCTGGATCTCGGTCTGGTCTCGGTCTGGTCTCGGTCTCGGTCTGGTCTCGGTCTCTCTCGGTCTCGGTCTGGTCTCTCTGGTCTCGGTCTCTCGGTCTGGGTCTCGGTCTGTTCTCGGTCTCGGTCTCTCTGGTCTCTCGTCTGGTCTCGGTCTGGTCTCGGTCTCGGTCTCGGTCTCGGTCTCGGTCTCGGTCTGTCTGTCTGTCTCGGTCTGGTCTCGGTCTGGTCTGGTCTCGGTCTCGGTCTGGTCTGGTCTGGGTCTGGTCTGTCTGTCTGGTCTCGGTCTCGGTCTGGTCTGGTCTGTCTCGTCTGGTCTCGGTCTCGGTCTGGGTCTCGGTCTCGGTTCTGGTCTCGGTCTGGTCTCGGTCTGGTCTCGGTCTGTTCTCGGTCTGGTCTCGGTCTGGTCTCGGTCTCGGGTCTGGTCTCGGTCTGGTCTCGGTCTCGGTCTCGGTCTCGGTCTCTCGGTCTCGGTCTGGTCTCGGTCTCGGTCTCTGGTCTGGTCTCTCTGGTCTCGGTCTGGTCTCGGTCTGGTCTCGGTCTGGTCTCGGTCTGGTCTCGGTCTCTGGTCTCTCGGTCTCGGTCTCTCGGTCTGGTCTCGGTCTGGTCTCGGTCTCGGTCTCGGTCTGGTCTCCGGTCTGGTCTCGGTCTCGGTCTCGGTCTCTCTGGTCTCGGTCTGGTCTCGGTCTGGTCTCGGTCTGGTCTCGGGGTCTCTCGGTCTCTCGGTCTGGTCTGGTCTCGGTCTGGTCTCGGTCTGGTCTCGGTCTGGTCTCGGTCTCGGTCTGGTCTCGGTCTCGGTATCTCGGTCTGGTCTCGGTCTGGTCTGGTCTCGGTCTGGTCTGGTCTCGGTCTGGTCTCGGTCTGGTCTCGGTCTCGGTCTCGGTCTGGTCTCGGTCTGGTCTCGGTCTGGGTCTCGGTCTGGTTGTCTGGTCTCGGGTCTCGGTCTCGGTCTCGGTCTGGTCTGGTCTCGGTCTGGTCTCGGTCTCGGTCTGGTCTGGATCTCGGTCTGGTCTCGGTCTGGTCTCGGTCTCGGTCTCGGTCTGGTCTCGGTCTCGGTCTGGTCTCGGTCTCTCGGTCTCGGTCTGGTCTCGGTCTGGTCTCGGTCTGGTCTGTTCTCGGTCTCGGTCTGGTCTCGGTCTCGGTCTGGTCTCGGTCTCGGTCTGGTCTCTCGGTCTCGGTCTCTCTGGTCTGGTCTCGGTCTGGTCTCGGTCTCGGTCTGGTCTCGGTCTGGTCTCGGTCTCGGTCTCTCTGGTCTCGGTCTCTCGGTCTGGGTCTCGGTCTGGTCTCGGTCTCGGTCTGGTCTCGGTCTGGTCTCGGTCTGGTCTCGGTCTGGTCTCGGTCTCTCGGTCTGGGGTCTCGGTCTCTCTCTGGTCTCGGTCTCGGTCTCGGTCTGGGTCTGGTCTCGGGGTCTGGTCTCGGTCTGGGTCTGGTCTCGGTCTGGTCTCGGTCTGGTCTCGGTCTGGTCTCGGTCTGGTCTCGGTCTGGTCTCGGTCTGGTCTCGGTCTGGGGTCTGGTTCTCGGTCTGGTCTCGGTCTGGTCTCGGTCTGGGTCTGGTCTCGGTCTGGTCTCGGTCTGGTCTCAGTCTCGGTCTGGTCTCGGTCTGGTCTCGGTCTGGTCTTTGGCTCGACTCCAAACAAACGCAAAAGAAAAAGAGGCCAGAAAAAAAAGGAAAAAAAGGCACAACAATGGCTGCTGTGTGGACGGAGACAAGACCAGACCGGCACGGGCCAAACTCACGGCTCGGATCACGTGGATTTAAAGATGCAATGTGGAACTTTTCTGCTGGAGATGTTGGGACTGAACCAAGTCTAGACCAGGACTGAATCAAGACTAGACCAGGACTGGGCTAAATAAGGACCAAAACCAGTAAAACCAAACCAGGAAAAACTTTTACTTTAGTATTTTTTGGACAAGAACAGGATTAGACCAAGACCAGGCCAGGACAAAACCAGGACTGGAACAGGACTAAACCAGGACTGGAACAGCACTACACCAAAACCAAAACTGGGACTAGAACAGGACTAGAATAGGATTGGAACAGGACTACATCAAGACCAAGCGAGGACTAAACCAGGACTCAACCAGGACTGGGCCAGGACTACACCAAGACAAGACCAGGACTAAACCAGGACTGAACCAAGACTGGGCCAGTAGCAGACCAGGACTAAACCATGAACTGGAACAGGACTAAATCAGGACTGGAGCAGGACTAGACCAAGACCAGACTCGGACTAAACCAGGACTGAACCAAGTCTAGATCAGGACAGGAACGGCACTAAGATCAGACCAGTACTAAAACAGGACAAGACCAGGACTACACCAGGACTAAATCAAGACAAAATCAGGACGGAACCAAGACTGGGCCAGGGCTAAAAGAAGACCAGACCCGGTCTAAACCAGGACTGGAACAGGACTACATCAAGACCAGATCGGGATTAAACCAGGACTGAACCAAGTCTAAACCAGGACAGGAACAGCACTACACCAAGATCAGACCAGTACTAGACCAGGACTAGACCAGGACTAAATCAGGACTGAACCAAGACTGGGCCAGGACTAGATTAAGACCAGACCAGGACTAAAAGAAGACCAGACCCAGTCTAAACCAGGACAGGAACAGCACTACACCAAGACCAAATCAGAACTAAACCAGGACTAGAACGATACCAGACCAGGACTAAATGAAGACCACACCAGGTCTAAACAAGGACTAGAACTAAACCAGGACTGAAACAGGCCCAAACCTGGACTGGAACAGGACTAGATCAAGAGCAGACCAGGACTAAACCAAAACTGAACAAAGACTGGGCCAGGACTAGACCAGGACTAAGCCAGGACTGGAACAGGACTGGAACAAGACTAAACCAGGACTAAACCCGGACTGGAGGAGGTTGTGGGTTAGATTCCTGATCCTGCCTGGTGTCGTCCCGGATCAGGGTGTGACTCCAAACAAAGGCTGCACGCTCGGATCAGCTGATGGCTCCAGTTTCCATGGAGACGAGGGCTTTTCCCGCCCACTTCCTCCACCGCATCATCCCCAGGCTCTAAACAGAACTAAACCAGGACTAAACCAGGACTAAACCAGGTCTGAACCAGGACTGAACCAGGACTAAACCAGGTCTGAACCAGGACTGAACCAGGACTAAACCAGGACTAAACCAGGACTGAACCAGGACTAAACCAGGTCTGAACCAGGACTAAACCAGGAAAACCAGGACTGAACCAGACTAAACCAGAACCAGGACTGAAACCAGGACTGAACAGGACTGAAACCAGGACTAACCAGGACTAAACCAGGACTGAACCAGGACTAAACCAGGTCTGAACCAGGACTGAACCAGGACTAAACCAGGTCTGAACCAGGACTGAACCAGGACTAAACCAGGACTGAACCAGGACTAACCAGGACTAACCAGACTGAACCAGGACTGAACCAGGACTAAACCAGGACTGAATCAGGACTAAACCAGGACTAAACCAGGACTAAACCAGGACTAAACCAGGTCTGAACCAGGATTAAACCAAGACTGAAACAGGACTAAACAAGGACTGAACCAGGACTAAACCAGGACTAAACCAGGACTGAATCAGGACTAAACCAGGACTAAACCAGGACTAAACCAGGTCTGAACCAGGATTAAACCAAGACTGAAACAGGACTAAACAAGGACTGAACCAGGACTGAACCAGGACTGAACCAGGACTGAACCAGGACTAAACCAGGACTAAACCTGGACAAAACCAGGACTAAACTAGGACTAAACCAGGACTGAAACAGGACTAAACGAGGTCTAAATCAGGTCTGGTATGACTAGACCAAGACCAGACCAGGACTAAACCAGGACTGGAACAGGTTTAAA